CTAACATTCTTTTTTTTTATTGCGAAAGATCCTAGATTGGTTCAATTAGTTGAATCTATAATTTGATTTGCGACCCTTCCTTATTTTTCTAATTTGATCTCCAGTCTCCATTCACATCTGATAGTCTCTCTTATTAACAGAATTTATCATGTTTCAAATCTCCTGCATTTTCCCGGAATAGCTTTGTTCGCCGGGTCTCAAATAATTATTATCTGTTCATTTTCTTATTTGATTAATCCGGAATATTTGAATTTTACGTTTCATAATTTTCTGTTCAAACACTGTATATCAGTTGCATATTTACTTGTTAGTTGTACAAAGCCATTTATATTGTTGCATTTAATTAAAGTTTTTGCAAGAAATATTAAATAATTAGGTATTGTTACTCAGAAAAAAACCTGTTGTGTTTTGTTTTGTTATGTTTTTTCTCTCTCCAGTTTGTTGCGATACTAATTGATTTTGAAAACAATAAATCATAATCAAAGCGCACAAGATTAGAAATTTCTTGGATAATATGATTAAATAACGATTTATTTATTTATTTTAATTTTATTATATTTAAACAAAATGGTCAAATAATCATAAATAAGATGGTAATCAAACTGTAAACGGTCAAAAAAATCGGTTATTAACTGCTTTCACTTAATAGGGTTAAACACCAATTTTATAGCAATTTTATAGCAACAAGAATTTTATAGCACTAACTAAACCCACCTAATATAGCCCATTAGTTCCTTACAACTGCGTGCATATTATAGCCGAGAGGGCTAATCTACAAGTCACATGACCGACAAAACTGGAGTTCGAGTTTCAGCTTTGACACCACAATATTTCATTCATTCCCCTTAACTCGTGAAGTGTTCCCAGTGTCTTGTACTCCCAAATTTGTAACCCTGGACTATTATAATATGATGCTTTCATTTACCCATAGATGGCAGCATTATAAGATGCTTAATTCAAATATGTCTAGTAATTCCCATCTCTTACGATATGTGAAACAACTAAATAAACTAATTAAACTTCCTTCCACGGTTCATTTGAAGAAACACAGCACAACCTAACTTTCATGCCCATTTTCGAACGAAAAACTTAGCTGCAATAACCAATTAAATTTTATTTTTACGGTTTTGAAGCCATTCTAGTTGTAAATAGTTTAAAAAAATCGTGTAGTTTAGTATTCATGGTTTTTTAAACAGACTAAATGTAAATGGTGTCAAAACCGTAAAAGTAAAAAAAAAGTTCTTTACTGTAAACTTTACGGTTTATCGCATATACAAACAACCACCGGTTACCGTAGTTTTAGAGTCAAAATTCTAACAGTGCAAAGTGTTTTTAAATTGTTAATAACACTGAAATCTATATATTAATAGGCTAGCAATATTTTGTCTCGCTAAAAACTCCCAAACTACGCAACAGAATTAAACAAATAAGGTGTCGTTTTAAAGGTATTGTTATGTAGATGTGCAATAAGGTCTTAAATTATGAAAATTTCCTTTAATTAATTAATAAAATTAATAATTTAGTTTCAACCAATGAGAATTCAGCAAATCATTTTTCGGGTGGTTCGCATAAGCATTGTTTCCGTAAGCATCGTTTGATTTAAAGCATTTCTGAATTAATAGATTGATAAACAAAAATAAGAGTGGAAAAAAAAAAACGGAACTGAATTTCTTAAAAAAAGAATTCAATATCTTTAGTTCCTTTGATAAATTTTTAGTTTCATGATAAATTTTTTGTTTCGTTACAATAGAATGGCAATGGCATCGTGCGAATATTCAAACCAAAACAAACGTGCGAATATTCAAACCAAAACAAACTTTCTACAAACAATTATTTTGATTTGAGATTTAAAACGATATCTTAGTTATTTAGTTCTATTTTTATTTATTTAGTGCCTGCTGCCTAAATAAAATGCCTGCTATCAGGCGTCGAAATATCTCTGGCAGACGTCAGAGAAATGAATGGCGGAATTCTAAACGGGAAAGCATTTCTTATTGAGATATATTCTCTGCTACAGCTCCAAATTTCTCAGCTACATGAAGAAAAGATAATCAAATTGTGAAGGGGGCAGAGAAGTGTATAAATTTCATTAAGTAATTGATTTCAATATCTGGCATTTTTATTTTAAAATTTAAATTTGTTAAAATGTTTTTATAAGATTGCGAAGCAATATGTAGTGGAACTGCGAAGCAGTTCTGGGGGTTGGCGAGCGTAGCGAGCAGGGGGCGGAGCCCCCTAGTATAATTTGATATAATATTTAACAACAAGCAACAATTAGAATGAAAAGTACTGAACTATAACCAATGTCCAACTATAATAAACGTTTAAATGATTGAGTATACAGTGCGCAAAATAGAAAAGCGAACAACTTAAATAATTTTTGATTTAATGATCGGATTTTCACGTACTAGGATTAATTGACGTAAGGGTCACACTTCACAAATAAAGATTAATTTTTGGAGACGATATTTCAAATTGCATAAATCAGACCCAAAAATCTACTTTCTCTGAATAAACATACATTTTTTGAATTCTTAATCAGTTGTGAAATCGGTAGTTGAGATATTCTACTCGAACTCTAATTCAGACTCAGGACTTTTCTGAGAATTGAACTTCGACTTAAGATTTTAACTCTATTAAAATGTTCACCGAATTCTCGGAAACTATCAATATTATTTCTATGCAAATATTAATATGTGTGCAATGTATCTATCACTACAAAAATATAATTCAAATTCCCTGGTATATAAGACATGTTAACTCGATTCTATGTTGGGGTAACTTTTCATAGATTAAGGTTGACATTGTAGATGACATACGCCCCACATTGGTGACCCGGACGTGATGTGAAAACGTCTACCTTGGCAAAATGCCCACTTCGATCTAAACACGCCTACTTCGATGGATGGTCCATATTGAACAGTTGACTTGCTACTTGTGACTGCGACATTATCCCCCTCCAGGCACTGTACCTACTCACTCTCGATCACACACAGCGTCAGCCTGCATACATTCGACTACTAATGGTAACACAGGAGCAACCACGACCGTGAACTTAATACAGCTCTCATGATCAACACTCAAAAGTACAGTGATATTAATACAGTTCTCCCGGCTTCTCACAAAACAGCAACGAATCAACTAGTGGTATCTATGCATCGAATTCTATCACAGCTATAATTCTGGTTATTATTATCTTATGTATAATGCTTATGCCTAGCATGTAGCATGCTTATGCTTGGAGGAATAAATTTATAAAAATATTGCAATCAAAAGAGATAAGTATTATAAAATGGTAGATGAAAACTCCTTATACAAAAATATTTGTGAATATAGTAAAAAATTAACCAAATTTTCTTCGTTTAATAAAAAAAGTTAGTGAANGTGTGCAATGTATCACTACAAAAATATAATTCAAATTCACTGGTATATAAGACATGTTAACTCGATTCTATGTTGGGGTAACTTTTCATAGATGAAGGTTGGCATTGTAGATGACATACGCCCCACATTGGTGACCCGGACGTGATGTGAAAACGTCTACCTTGGCAAAACGCCCACTTCGATCTAAACACGCCTACTTCGATGAATGGTCCATATTGAACAGTTGACTTGCTACTTGTGACTGCGACGTTATCCCCCTCCTCGCAGTGTACCTATTCACTGTCGATCACACACAGCATCAGCCTGCATACACTCGAATGCTAATGGTAACACAGGAGCAACCACGACCGTGACAGCTCTCATGATCAGCACTCAAAAGTAAGGTGATATTAATACAGCTCTCCTGGCTTCTCACAAAACAGCAACGGATCAACTAGTGGTATCTATTCATCGAATTCTATCACAGCTATTATTCTGGTTATTATTATCTTATGTATAATGCTTATGCCTAGCATATAGCATGCTTATGCTTGGAGGAATAAGTTTATAAAAATATTGCAATCAAAAGAGATAAGTATTATAAAATGGTAGATGAAAACACCTTATACAAAAATATTTGTGAATATAGTAAAAAATTAACCAAATTTTCTTCGTTTAATAAAAAAAGTTAGTGAAAAACATTAAGCCTAATTTTACGCATCGATTGATACAAATGATAAGTATGAAATCGGTACTCATAATAGAGTTCAAACTTCTATTACTATCGTCATTTGTTCGGGGATAAGAATTTCGTCAAAAGAAGTAAATTTAATGTTATACATCCATCAATGCAAATGATAAGTATAAAATAGGCCTTCATAATACCATCAAATTTGCATCACCATTTGTTTGAGGATATGAATTTCCACAAAAGCATTAGGTCTGAACTTACACATCGATTAATACAAATGATAAATATGAAATCAGTACTCATAATACCATTAAAACTTGTTTCACTATTGTTATTGTTATGTTTAGGGATAAGAATTTCGTTAGAAGAATTAGGCCTAATGTTACACATCTATGAATGCAAATAATAAGTAAAAAATTGGTTTTCATAACACCGTTAAAACCTGCTATCACTATTATAATTTGTTCGAGTATGCGAAGTTCGTCAAAAGCATTAGGCCTAATCTTACAAATCGATTAACACAAATAAGTGATAAATCTGTATTCATAACACCGTTAAAACTTGCACCACTATCGCACTATTTTCACTTGTTAAAAGATACGAATTTCGTCAAGAACGTCAGGCCAAATGTTACACATCGTTTAATGCAAATGATAAATATAAAATCGGTACTCATAATACGTTTTTCGTTTAAGTATCCATAATATGCTTCAGTACTCATGATCGATACTCATAATACGTTTGTTAGGTACTAATATTTTTTTTTTGTATAAGTTGAATCATAGTATCGTGCAATTTAAGATGGATTAACTTGGACGCTAGTATAGTTCAACCTGATGCAAAAATTATGATTTACATGCTTTGCCTGGAAGAAATATAAATATAGATATAGAAGAAAAAATACATTAAAATACAATAAAGTAAGCCATTCAATTATGTGACTCACCCATGACGTTTAGTTCTCTTTCTGCTTCTACTGATTGGAAAGAAGGCGCTTCGGCGGATACTTCGCAGCGGTATGTTCCTGTACTGTTGAGATCCACATTTCGAAGAAAAACTGACCTCCTCCCGGACTTTGACAGCTACAAAATAAAAACGGAGTACTACACTGTACAAAATGTCTGTTAAAATACCGCGAGAAAAATAAGAATCTATGTTAAATTACGTAAATTCTTGTTCAAACGCATATTTGCGATCGCAACGCTCAAATACGCCATCTGGTGAGAAGATTGGTTCCATGCTTTGACTCTCCCCTCTCCTCCTCTTCTCAATTGTGCAGGAATGTACTACGATATTTTCCCTTTTAATATTTTTCATATTTAATTGTCAAAAATATTTTTTTAAATTTTTCCGACGCTTTCTCTTAGAACTATGTTCAATGTAGTTTTCTGTTCCATGATGTTACCTAACCTAAAAGATTTCAATCTATTTTAAAATCAAGACAGAAACTAACGTACTTCCTTCTCATATGACTCTCCACACGCTAATGGTAAAAACATGTGAAATGTTGCCATAGGTAAAGAGTTCTGCTCTACGCCACCTGTAGACCACTTCGATAGCCAATAACTGAATTCTCGTTAAGAGATATCAGAAAATACCTGTTTTGATTTCTCTGTAGACTCTCTTTCAGATAATTTCTGTTATATTGTTTCAATGTAATGCCATTTTTAAAATAGGTAAAAAGTAGTCCATTTGGAAAGGTGGGCAAAGTCTTCGCGTACCAACGCTTCAACCGATAAGCGATTAAATTTCAAAGTGGCCGCTATTGGTCGAAAATGACATTACTACTTGTGGGAAACGTGATGGTAAATATCGATTTGCGTTGAAGCGATATTTTAAAATTTTCGAAAATGTTGACCTTAAACGAGTTACTTTTTGATTTTCTTTATTTTTATTTAATAATTTACTTCTACTTTTATTATTGTCTCAAGATATATAACTATATTAATTTTCAAATTTGTTTTTCAACTTAATATTTCACATTTTTTTATTTAACTGAAAGAAATGTTTGTTCAATAGAAAACAATAATGTTATTTACTGAATTTCAAAAGGCACTGATGACAAGAAAAATAGTCAAAACACTACTGTTCAAATATTATAATGCATACGACTAAATAAATATCTCTTTTAATAGTTGAAAATGAAAATACTATTTACAATTCGCACAATTTTGTGATAATTTCTATTCAAGTCAAAGTCATGGAAATAAGACCTAATACTGATATTATGTAAATCTTTACAAGAATGAAGTAAGTCCACATGAGAAAACGAAATCTGTATTCAAAGTCAAGTTTTCACTAGCCGATACATATCGCCCTTCGCACACGTAGTGACGTCATTTTCGACGAATAGCGTGAATCGGCCATTTTGAAATTTAATAGCTGTATGTTAATTACCGTATGACGATATTGTCAAATTTTGACATGATATTTTTAGTGTTAAAAGTGCGTGTGTATATGTGTGATCCATTTGCATTTTCTTAGAAAATAAGTTCAGAAAGCTGAATGTACAGTGACCAATACATACATTTTTATTAATAAAGCTGTTTTCACAGAATGGAAGAGTGCGTTTTGATATTCTAAAGTGAATTTTTCTTTAGTATTCTTACATTTTACAATTCGATATTTAAATTTTTGATAAAGATCCATGATTTTCATTAAATTGATAAAATTCATAATTTTTAAAATTATCTATAAACGTAAAATTTTCTATGAATAAAAAAAATTTAGTCATTGAACACTTATAATTTTTTCTTCCAATTGTCTACTTGTGAAATCATCAATTCTTTAAAGTATTTATTTAAACTGAATTATGTTTCAGTATCATGCATTGAAATTAATAATGGTCTAAATTCTTATTTTTTTACACATTAATTATATTAAGCACAGGTGTAATACAGGTGTCCGCATCTTCCCAAGTGTAATTAGAAACAATAAGAAAAAAAAGCAATTTATTTATCAATGAATATGTTTAAATAAATATTTTAAAACAATAAACACGAAAACAAAAAAAAATTTTGCAGCGAAAACCATGAAATGTTTTCAGTGATAAAAATTCATTTGGAGGAAAACTTTTTATGTTATTTATAATAAGAAGGTTGAACTCCGACCCACCCCAGGGGGGTATACGGAGATAAAAGTAAAATTATTACAATAAAATTTCTCTAAAAACTAAAGTTACAGTAAAATTTCGCCAAATGACAGTGGTGGTGATCAGTTAAAAGTGGATTAACAATAAAGTTTGACAATTAAAAACATGTGTTAAAGGCAATGAAACCCAATAGCGCCGGTGTAAATGTCGAGAATTAAATGATTATAATAATAAGGAAACAAGAGATAAAAAATCTCAAAACTAAAATCAATGAAAGCTAAAAGTCCAAATAGTAAATGTCTAAAAGTAAAAGTCTGACTAGAAGTCTATGAAGTCTAAAATCAAAAGTAGATAAAAATTCAAAATGTAAGGCTAAAAGTTGATTAGTAAAAATTAACGATGACATGCTCTATTGTTGGTTCATGACTGGGGCCAGTTGATCTGGGGCTAGAATGTCCTCGAGGGTTTGTTTAATAATTTGAGTCACAATTTTCCTGCAGGTCAATATAGCGAAGAATTGATGTTCCTCTTCGCAATTATTCATGTGGGTTCCACGAAGTGCCCGGAATCTTGGACAGTGCTTAAGTAGATGATCAATGTCCTGTCTCACTCCACAGTAATTGCATGAAGCTGATTTTTTGAAATATTTTTGTTGATAGGTCCCGAACACTCCGTGGCCAGTAAGGAGCTGGTTTAAATAAAAATTGGCCTGCAGGCGCTTTATGCTTGGGTCTTTAAAAAATTTATAGGTTTGTCTTCCCTTGTCACTAGACCTCCAGTCATTTCTCCAGCGGTTAAAAGTAATGTTCTTAATGTAAGATTTAATTTCGCATTTTTCACCCGGGATCTCAAAATCAATCTGGCCAAGCTTAGTGGCTTCCTTAGCAACCCAGTCGGCCTCTTCATTCCCTTCAATGCCTGAGTGTGCTTTAATCCAATTTATATTATAGTTGCTACTCCACATGGCTTTGGTGTCTTCTATAAGTTTGAGGTCTTTACGTGGGTCCTCCAGGCTCATAAGTGAAGAAAGGGATTATGTTATTTATAAGTACGCAATCAATACAGAAGTGTTATCTATTTTAACACAACAATCTGCAGTATTTTTAATAAAATATAACTTATAACTTATAATATGTCATTTGTGCCAAATTCGATTGCTAATTCAAACATATCTCTAATCCAGAAAGAAAGACATATTTAAATTAAAGAAATTCTTTTAGAATCAAATGTGTTCTTCGCAATAATTATTACATTTTAACTTTACTTAAATTTAAATTTAAGTAATCTATACCTTTATATCAGCCTTAAAGTAGACAAAATCTTTTAACGTGATATTTCATGACCTTAAAATTTATCTTTGTAAATTAAGAAATTTCTAGACTCGCTGCCGTCATGGGTATTCAACAACTAAATTTACCAATTTATTTTCTGTAGGCCATTGACTTTCTACTGTGATTTTCTATTGGCCATTTACGTCGTTACTTTTAGCTTGCTGTGCTTTAAGATTTTTTGTACCTGTTTTAACTTCTAAATTTTCCACTTGTTTTCAAGTTGGAGTATGGGCCCTATGGGCCTAATTTGCCATAGCCATTACCGTTACATATTTACAACTTGGATGTTCCATAGCCAAATTTATGAGCTCTGTGTATATAATTGCAATGAACTCGATGAGAAATGATCAAAGAACTAACACATAGTGTATAAGACAAAATAGCTCTCCATGGCCTTTTTTTTAACCCCTCACTAACCTTTACTGTTACCCACTTTTATGTAAGTAAAGCCCTTCATTTTTTTAAATATTTCTTGAAGTTGTTAGCAGATGGTGGCACAAATCATAAGTATAAAAATAACTTCCTCGTGACAGCTAAAAGTTAATGAAGTCCGTTGGAAATATACTTCCCACGGCCCATTAAAGGGTTAAAACTATATTTAATTTCTCACAACAATGCAATATCATACGTGCTCTGTAACACAACCTGGAGAAAAGAACCAAAACTAGAAACAAACAAATGATACATTTAATGAAATTAGTTACTATTTTCAACGAAAGAAAACGCTTAAGCTAAATTTCAGAACGAAGCGGAATAATGATTCATTAAAGCCAATTTGCAAGACTCAAGTCACGCAATAGTGATTATTATCAAGCTTTTTGGTGAGGTGAACAATTTGTATCTGTAGTGACGATTCTTTTGATTTAGAGAAAGCATTGTAAAAGAATGCGCATTGTAAAGTATGACATTTGGAATATGGCATTGATCTAATTCTAATGAGAAAGAAAAGTCTTTTATTTAAACATTTCTTGACAAAAGATAGATAAATAAATTAAAAAATTGTGATTGCCGCAAGGCGATCACAGGTTACCATTGGCATCGTTTTTTTTTTCTTGCTTGAACTCTAACCTTTGGGACCGCGTCAATCAATTTGGGACCCTCTTTATTTGTGATATTCACCTGAATTAGTATTGAAAACGATCCAGTATGAACTGTTGGTTAGAGTTTCAGATTCTTAATTAAAACAATGAAAACAAAAAAATATCGTTCAAATGATGAAATTCTCTTTTATTCACAACTCAAGAAGTATTTATGGGATATGTCTGGTCACATATCTCAAAAGTAAACTCACCTACTTAATGCATAACAAAATTTAAAAGTGAAAAAAAAGTATTCTAAAAAAATTATCAAATAGCAGCGGTCGCCAGAGCAACGCAAGCAATGACGACGCATGCGTACTGTTTACTATTACTCTTGAACACAGTTGAAAAGCATGATGATGTCCAAATAAAGCGCGTACGCCATCAAATTCAAAACAAGACAAGGCTTCGTGTACTAAACAATAGATTTCAGGCATCGTGTATAATGGGTTGTGGAAACTTATGTATAGAAGTTTGAATTTATTTAAAATTTGTCTTATAAAACTTTATTTTTATTGAGTTAAGTGTGAACAATATTTTTCATTTCGTATGGATAAAAATTTCCAAAAGGGGGATAAACTGGATAAATGATTAGAAAAACGATATTATCATTCAAAATTTTTTAAAGACTCTTAATGTTTATACTATTATAAATTGTAATTTTGTAGTTAGCTATTCAATTATCTCAAAAAAGAAAAAAAAAACATTATAGCATTTTGTTTACATTCTTCTTTTACATCTAATGCTAAACTTTTGCAGAACTTGGTATATTTCAAAATATCAATTATGCTTAATCTGTAAATATCATGTTAGATTTATCGATTCAGATTACTTAAAAATAAAATTTTTAACAATGAATAATGAAATCACAAAAAAATATATATTTTTTTAAAAATTAATTATGTAGAAGTTTTAAAATCGGCTTTGTAAAAATTACATCACTACGACTTTCTACAGTATTTTCAATTATAAATTCACTTTTCCATCATTTAGCGTTTGGCAAAAAATTATAGATCCTAAGATATGCGTTTCTTTTAATGTGTTCACTAAAAGGGAATATACTTACCAGACCAAAGTGTGGTACTATCAGAATATGGAATATGGTTTCTGGCTTTATGGGAAGATTAAAAAGCTTGGTAATTTTTACCGAAGTGCTTTGGAAAGGATTTTAGTAAAATTACCCATAAAATATTGTTTCTATGATGTGTGGTAAAATTTGGTAATTTTATCATGATGCCTTAGAGCATGGTATAAAATCCATTTATTCGGTTAAATTTACTTTTCAGTTTTATACTTTTTACTAAAAGTACGGTTATAAAAACTAAAATTTTGAAAGCCGGAATTTCCGGTAAGCCGTTACCATATGAACGGAAACCGTTACCACATGAATGGTTTAAATATCGGTACATATTTTGTTTTTATTACTAGAAATTCTGTTGTTTTATTTTATCCGAAATATCTTTGCTGTAGAGTGCGGTAATTTTATCACAATTCTTTCATGGTACTAGGCATACGACAGGCGGTTACTAGGCTTTTTGACAAATGCCATGCTAAAAAAGCACACGGAAATGTTTGTCATATGGCAAACTTGCGCGCTAGTATGGAAACCATGATTTTTTTCAGTAACCTTCAGTCTTCTATTGGATGGGTTTTAACCTGTAATAGGTTGAATCATTTTTTTAAATTTAAACTGCCAATAGTTTTTGACCGTGCCAAGATAGCTTTCATATAAAACCAAAGTATTGAGAACCTCAGGGAGAAATAAATTTGCGAACATTGAGATGAACAATTTACTATCGATAGTTATTTTGTTATCCAATTTAAATTAATTACAGAAATGCATTGATATCTGGTTTATTGTATTTACACATAATAAACTCATGGACAAAAAAATTAGAGCACCAAGAAGGAGTCTTCAAAATGAAACGAAATTTTACATACGTAATGACTACTGTGATATAAGTAAATGATTAGAAAATCAAAGAAAAACGATAATCCTTGATTTTCTAATCGTTTACTTATATCAAAGCAGTCATTACGTATGTGAAATTTCGCTTCATTTTGAAGACTCTTCTTGGTGCGCTAATTTTTTTGTCCATGAGTGTACATTCATAATACTTTTTATTTCAATTTTAAATATTAAATTCTAGTAATGAAGGAAAATAATGGATATAATATTTCAACATACGTCAACTTTGACTCCAGGAAGTGGCAGGAATTGACCGGGTGGCCAATCATTTGGCACATATCTGTAAAACTCAACGTCGTTCTTGTACCATTTTATGGAGTACAACCTGTCATTTTCTAATTCATATATACATGATAGCTCTATTGATTCTCCTTGGTTGGCAGCAGTGGGAACGTCCAGCATTACCATACGCAGGCAACGGCAAACTTCGACTGCAAGGAAGAAAAAAAATAAGAACAATTTTCGACTGAAATTTAAGTAGAATACCACAAAAGTTAACTTACACTTGAGCAGCTTAAACTATTTTGGCTCTAACAAAATTCTTACAGTTATGTCATGCTAGGGGAGCGGGGATTATGTAGATTGAACAAACTCGCATCATGTGTAAGGTATGTAATGTAATACACATGTATTTGCACTGAGAAGAAAAGGATGGTCAAAACTACCAGAACATGGTAAAATTTACCGTGTTTCTGGCTCTATGAAAAAGCTCGGTAATTTTTATGAAGCACTTTTGGTAAGATTAACAATGAAATACGGTTTTACAAAATTATGGTAACGTGGGTAAAATGTGGTTACTTTATCATAATACCTTAGCATAGCATTAGAACCATTTATTCAGTTAAATTTACTTTCAGGTTTTGCATTTTTTACTAAATGTCTGGTAATATAAATTATAATTTCAGATAAAAGGTTGCCAGATCTACGGAAAAATTTCCGCATGAATGGTTTTAATACAGTACATTTTAATACAGTACAGTTCCGCATGAATTAGTTTTAATATCAGAAGAACTATTATTTTTTTAAAACTTTTCTTAATTGTCTTTATTATACAGTACGGTAATTTAACTAGATTTTTCTCTACGTGAAGCATCAATAAACTGTTTTCCTATAGTGTAGCTATTCATTATCCAGTATAACTGTGACATCGGGTCACCGAGTTACAATTTGCAATTTGTACACTCGTTATTCGATGAAGATACTTTCAAGTTCGCATTTATTATAAGGACCTATAATAAGGACTATAATTTTGAAAAACCGGAATTTCTAGTAAGCTGACCTTATGAACGGTAAGATTACCACCAAATAAATGGTTTAAATACCATACGTTTTGTTTTATTAACCAGAATTATGTTTTTCTTCTTCTTTTTTTTTTAAAACCAGAAATGTCATTATTCTTTAGTAAAGTAATTTTTTCCGAATGTTTTTCTCCGTATCGAAAAAATAGAATTCAATAATTTTTTAGAAGCACAAATACCTAGTTACATTTAATCACAATTTGTAAAACACTATTTTCCTTTCAATAAATCTCCAAAGCTTGTCGGCTTATATAAAATGCTCCTTAATAAGAGCCCTAAACGTATATGTTTAGAATTTTTGTTAAAAAAAAAGGTAAAGTTTTACTCATCGAGGTAGAAAGGTGAGGTAAAAACAAAAATACCATGAAAGCTTGACGAATCATTAATTGATAGAAATTAAATTTCCATTTAAACGCGTTTAAGTCAAAGAGTTCACCATCTAGAAAAATTTGTTCGATGCTAGATACAAAAAAGTTTTCTGTTTTCTGTTTTTATTGGTTGATCTAAGAAAAAAGCAAAAAAAAAAAAAAAAAAAAAAAAAAAAAAAAAACAAGAATCTTGTGAACATCAGTTCACGAGACTTACAACAAAAGTCTTTTTAAATACCTTATAAATTATTTAAAATTGAAATAAAATAAAATAATTGGACAAGAGCGTAATCACGTTAAAAATAAAAATTGAATGCCCCTCCCCTCCCCCCCAAAAAAAATCTATGCAGTTGCAGACGACTAATACCGTGAATGACATGTTTTAAGACAAGAAAAGGGAAGATATTACTCCTTTAAAAATCTTGCAATCCTAAAGATCTTATTAAAACTTGTAATTACTTCGAGAAACTTTTCAACACTGTGGTATCAAAACAACGATTACAAGCGTTCATTTTATAAAGTTATTAAATCTCCACTTTGGAAGGACACTTCTTTAAGAAATTTTGATTGAATAGCGCTTTTACAACACTTGATGCTTCTTCATGCAAAGCGTAATTCCTTTAAGAACTTTAAATTTACAAAAGTCTTTAGTTTTACAAAAGAGAAATCTGTTGAAACTTTACAGGTATTCACCTCGTTCCTTAACGTTTTGACAAGTTTTTAAAATTACTTTGAGTGATAAGTTGAGCCATTTGAAATTGCTGGATTAATTTTATTGATAATAAAATTGTCTGTTTTACTCAAGTTGCAAATTTTTACTACCAATCAATTTAACCTCGTCTAGGAAGCTGAAGTTTTAATGATATTTCTCAATTTTCTTTCCATTAGGGGGACCGGAAAGTAGCGTCGTTTCGGTGCATTTGATATTTGTTATCAAGATTTTATTTTTAATCAATAATACATTCACCCTCGTTCGCAACAACCTGTCAATGCAAGATCGAAAATAAATCGAAATGGATGAAAAGAAAAATGAATTGGTTTTAAAGACTAACGAATATTTTTGTGCCGAAACGACATTAGTTTCCAGTCCTCCTAATATTTGAATGATTTAAATCTAATATTTTGTATTGATGATACTAATCAAAGGTGATGGAAAAGAGGAGAAGCACATGTTCAATTATGCGTTTAGAAAATGTTTCGTTACTAAATGACCTACAAAATTTTGATTGTTGTCAAGTATTGACTTAATTTTTTTTATAACCTGTAAAATATAACAGTAAATTCTACAGAATTTTTTTTACAGAAGAAACTATTTAAAGATAAATACAGATTTTACAGGTGAGTACAGATATACCTGCGCATTGCGAAAAATTCCCGTTTTTCTAACAGGCTTTCTCCTATATTTGTCAATTTAAAGATGTTTCACACAAAACAGTTTTTCTCTGTTTTACTCTCTAATCATAAACGGATTAAAACTGTTAATTCAAAATCTAGTGTTGTCCAAGCAGTTTCGCTTACTGTAACTCTACTCTTCTTTAAGTTATTTTAAGAATATATTTTATACTTGATCTTACCTTTTAGCAATTATTTTATGATTTTGAACATCGCATAAATAATATTAAGATTCAACTTCATTGTTGAATAAATACTCTACCTGATTATTATCTGAATTTAGATATAATTTTAGATAATATTAAATTAAAATGCCAGGCATTTTTATAAGGGTGGGGCAATATAGTTTTAAATGTTTTTACACTAAAACATAATTTCAATAAGTAAGATTTTTTTTTATAACCGTCGTTGAACAGCCGACTCAATTTTATGGGTTTACGACTACTAATGTTCAACTCCGTAGCCTTGTAATGTTGAACCCAATCCAGAAGACAAGAGAACTCCTGGATCGAGTGTTGGGAGAAATTTTGACTCCGTGGAGTACTTTTTTATGGAGCTAACCCGCATTTGCGTTACATGGAGAGGAAGACCACGAGAACCTCCCAAGGTTAGCCTGACGCCAAGAAGACTCTAATCCATGATCCGTCTATCACTGAGCATATTTCACGTCAGCACTGTGGATGCGGAATTCGTATCGACTGGGATTTGAACCCGGTTCGCCTCTTTGGAACGCCATCTTTGGAAAAAATACAAATTAAGATTTTTCTTTCTAGAGGAGCACTAGAGCTGCCTTGGTTCAGGGGGGTTATGACTCAGGGAGGAGAGCGCTCATCTTCCGTTTAGGGGACCCGTGTTCGAATCCCGGTGTTGACTGATCATGAGAATTCTGTTCTTGGTTCGCACTGACTACAATGCTGACATAATTATTTTCTTTCTTAAAATAACAGCGTTTGTTTGTTAAAATAACAGTTATTATCTGCTTAAAAAACAGGAGACCATTTTTAAATAACGGTATTTTTCTGTGAAATAAACGGTTTCATACTGGCACAACAGCTGAGTTTTTTTCTGTAAATTTAGCAGATTTGTTTCACAGCATGCAGTAGTAAAAATAAGCAACACATTAAATTTTTTAAAATTTTTTTTCGAAATATATCATTTGATGATTATCAGCAATTAATGGGGTGATTGGAAAGTAATTTCGCTTTTTCCAATTATAGGACTTATATTTTATCACAGCCAATTTCACACTTAAGCCACATAATCATTATATATTTTGACAGCAGATATAGCAAGGCTTGCTTCTAAAAAAGTAGCTTGATTTAAAGCAGTGGTTGTTCAATGTACTTCCAAATATGGAAAGTTCAAAGCATCAAACAAAGTTCGGCATGTTTTACATCTTCACTAGGTCAAAATGCTGTTAAAGAGATAATCATACAATAGCCGATAATTATTTGATGTGTATTCAGAAGATGTATTGGCAACACGCTACTACCAAAATTAGTTTCCAAAATTTCTTAACTGCAAAACTTTGCTTAACACGTACGAAGATGTTCCACACCAATTTAAGCCGATAAAGACGCAAAATTAATACAAACTGGAGAATAACAACTCATGAGATCGCCGAGGAAAAAATTATCGAATTCAACAGTTCATGATAATTGAATTCAGTGTTAGTCTGAAAACAACTAGAAATAGTAGAAATAGACTAGGCATAGTAGTCTGAAAACAACTAGAAATAGGGTATACTTTGTGATATGTAGCATAACTATAAACTAAATTTCACCATTCCTAAAGACCCTATTGCGATATTAACAGCTGAGCTATTCGTGTTAATGTGGTCTTACGTAGATCGGAAAAATTAGACTTACTCTTAAATTTCGACTTACGTTCAAAACCAGGAAATTAAAATTCTTCTATAGAATTCTTCTATAAACACAGTTAGAATACAAATGACAGGCTTGAGTTTTATTCTATTAAAATCATTCAACACTGCTCTTTACCTTCGGAACTTGATTTTTGGTAGTCACTCAATATTGTGAAAAATTCTAACAATTTAGTTAATAGATTTCCAAATATTGGGAAATGGTAAGGTCTTTGGAGAATCCCACCATTTCCCAATATTTAGAAGTCCATTTTAATCAAATCTGTTGAACCATAGCATTCCCGCCAAATCCACTTACACCTGCTTCTTATCTCCTCCTTATTATTGCCTGACCCAAACTTGTTCCTCTGTCCCTATTGGTTAAACCACTCTACACGGGTTTGTCAACTTACTTCTCTACTTTCATTTGACGTTTAGACCCAGAGGAAGGTTCCTGTCCATAAAACTGAAACTAAAGTATGTCAATTTATGCACATTCATTTGTGATTTAT